TGCTGTGGATGGTGTGACTTGATTGGAAGGCCATTCTGCCATCCTGGGGGTTCCCAGGTGGCTCCTTTCAGGATGGGTCCTGCCTGCCAGCTTAGCCCTGGGAGGAAACCCCTTGGGTTCTGCTTTGAATCCCTCTCATTCTCTGCTCCAGCCTAGCACAGAGGGATGTGGCTGGAGCTGGGGAGGCTGTTGGAGGCCATTTCACTGCCTGCTTGCTGTGCCTGTGCTGTGCTTTCCCTGCACAGCCAGCTCTGGAGTGGGTGCCAACTCTCTGCCCTGCTGGGGCAGCAGGAGGTGGGCAGCACTGGGAGAAACCTTTGTGGCACCAAGGATCAGGCCCACCCAGATCCTTCAGCCAAGCAGTTTATTTACACTCTTGCAAGAAGGGGTGAGCTAAACAAGCAGGCACACCCACAGGCAGGTGAAGAACGGTTTATCTTCCCTGTTCCCTAAGTTCCCTCCCCTGGTTCCCCACTGGCTGGGCACTCCAGGGATTCCAGCCCATCCCACGCTTCTAATTATCCTGTAAGTTTCCCCCCCCCTGCTCACACATCCCATTCTAGCAGGTCACTTTTTACCTTTTAAGGTAAAATTTTGACCTTTTTTGCCCCCTGGGCTGCCTTCCCAATTAACAAATCTACTGGTGTCATCCTGCCCTGAGCAGCAAGATAGAAGTGGCTTTGTTGGGTCTGATCTTGGGCCACAAATCCTGCTCCATGTTTGGATCCCCAGATGGAGCCCAATTCACTCCCTCAGTTCCTTGGGCCACAAACCCCTCCTGGTGTCCTTAGATTGTGCAGAGATCTCACTTGTCTCAAACAAACTATATGTTTAAACCACTCCTGGTGTCAGATATCTCACTTATCTCAAACAAACTATATATTTCTAACACTAAGATATATATATATATATATAAACCAAACCAAACACTATGTTTTTAAGACTAGAATGCAAAACCAACACTACATTTCATTTCTAACAGCAGTGAGTGCAGGTCTTTCCCTGCCACGCCTCGCCTGGTCCCCATCTTTTTTTCAGAGGGGTAGGGGCTGTGGGGGTTGCTGGAGAGGAGGGGAGCTGAGGGCACCCCAGGCTTCCCACCTCCTTCTGTTTCAGAAAGTGGTGCAGGAAGAGCTGGATGCCCTCCTGGAGCAGCAAAGCACGATAGAGAACAAGATGGTGGCACTTCATCGGATGGGGTCAGTGATTCCTCCCCCTCTCTGCTCTTCCTTCTGCCTCCCCTGCACTGCTCAGCTCCTCCCTGTTAACTTTGGGATGGGAACATCTGCCTCAGTGCTGTGAGGGAACCGTGTTCATTCCCAGAAAATGTCAGGCTTTCAGTCAGTTTTTGGTAGGGAGCAGGAGTTAGATCATAGAGTCATAGACTGGGTGGGAAGGGACCATAAAGCTCATCCAGATCCAACCCCCTGCACGGGCAGGGACACCTCCCACCAGCCCAGGTTGCTCAGAGCAATGAAATCACCAGCAATTAAAGTACTTGGGAGTGTGTTGCTGTTCCTTTGCAAGAGGGTGGATGGCAGGAGAACGTGTGAGCTGGGCTGTTGGTGTGCAGGGTGCTGGTGTTCTGGGGGTGAGGGGAAATGCTTCCCTGGGGGAGGGTGGGGAGAGCCTGGCCCAGGTTGCCCAGGGAAGCTGTGGCTGCCCCATCCCTGGCAGTGTTGAAGGGCAGGTTGGATGGGGCTTGGAGCAGCCTGGGCTGGTGGGAGGTGTCCCTGCCCATGCAGGGGAGTTGGGACTAGATGATCTTTTGAGCTCCTTCCAACCCAAACCAGTCTGGAATGTGATGATTCCATGATTTTGACGCGTCGCTCCTGCAGGAAGGGAACGAAATGTAACATTTGGGTCTGGGGGAAGAACCAATCTGCTTCTACTAACCATCTCCTACTTAAATATGCTACTGAAATCTGCTTGTGTGTCCAGCCCCAAGCTGCAGCTGATCGAGGGGGATGCCCAGCAGCTGGCAGGGATGATCAGCTTCACCTGCAGCCTGGCCGAGAACGTCAGCAGCAAAGTCCGGCAGCTGGACATTGCCAAGGTAACTGCTTCTGGTGCTGCAGGGGGCAAAGGGGGAGAATCATGCCTGGTTCCCATCTAAAAGTTGGTTCTTCAGCATCCCCCCTTTGTCTGTGCAGATCCTGGTGGGATATGGGGAATAATCATGGGGTCACTGACTGGGTTGGGTTGGAAGGTACTCTAAAGATCATCTAGTCCCAAACCCTGCATGGGCAGGGACACCTCCCACCAGCCCAGGCTGCTCCAAGCCCCATCCAACCTGCCCTTCAACACTGCCAGGGATGGGGCAGCCACAGCTTCCCTGGGCAACCTGGGCCAGGCTCTCACCACCCTCACACCAAACAATTTCCTCCTCATGTCTCACCTCAATCTCCCTCTTCCAGTTTTCATCCCTTCCCCCTTGTCCTCTCCCTCCCTGCCCTTGTCCCAAGTCCCTCCCCAGCTTTCCTGGAGCCCCTTCAGGCACTGGAAGGTGCTCTAAGGTCTCCCTGGAGCCTTCTTCTCTCCAGGCTGAACACCCCAACTCTCTGAATTTCAACACCCTCACACTACAGAATTTCCTCCTCATGTCTCACCTCAATCTCCCTCTTCCAGTTTTAATCCATCCTCCCTTGTCCTCTCACTAAGCTGAGGTTAATGTTGGTGAGCACTCTGGTCAGCTAGTGCAGCTCTGAGGACAGTGCAGGTGGTTAGTGTCCCCCAAGAGCTGTCAGGAATCCAGGCTGTCAC